ATTTCACAGGAAGGACTTACAGCATATATAAGATCTGTACCGGGCGCCAAAACCAAAATACGGGCCCGATACCATCGCTTTCTAATCAGATTTTATTTCCAATTTCTTTAAATAATTTCAGAAAACAATTTTACAAAAAAATTCATTTCTCGGGCTTGGGACCTCGGAATTCGATTCCGGACATATGGCCAAGTCCCATATTTCCCTACGGACCCTCCGGGACCGTCAAATCACGGGTCCGTTTTCCTAAAATATTGACCAAGGTCAAATTTATTCATTTTAACATCAAAACTTAGCATTTTTCACAGAATTTTATATTTAAGCTTTTCGGCTACGCGTCCGGACTGCGGACGCAAATCGAGGTGACTCTAAATGAGGTTTTCAAGCCTCGGGTGCATTTTGACATTGATTTAGTTTTCGAGGCTAGGATTGTTATAATCATGTTGTTCATGTATTGGACATTTTGAAATTGAGCATAAGTATGGGAAGTGTATTTTGACAGCATATGCTAGAGCTTAAGTGTTGCTATCAACCATGGCCATAGTTATAGTATGTTGTAAATGTGTGGCTTGTTGGGTCCGTGATGAGGAAGTATTTAGTTGGTTGACTCGAGGGAGAGCAACATTTAAGTGTGGGTGTTGATGTCGTGAGATAATTCCATATATTTTGACATTATTTACCCTACTTGCTTGTTATTTGGATACTACTTTGTGCGACAATTTGCCTTAATAGAGCTTCTTTTACGTGTAGGAATGCTTGGATATAAATTGGAGAAAAGTTGCACGGAATGGTACCTCAAAGCTACAAAATGGAGCACAAAAGAAGAAGTGCAAGACAACAAAACAACATTGCCATAGACAGTGCAAGGCATTGTCCAGGGCACTGTCATTGGCGCCCCGGGCAGTGTGCGTCGGAACAACAGTGCCATAGACAGTGCAAGGCATTGTCCAGGGCACTGTCATTGGCGCCCCAAATAGTCCTTGAGCCGAAACGGCAGTGCCATACACAGTGCAAGGCGCCGATGATGCCATCTGAGCAAATTTTAATTCCTCATTAGTTTTGGACATGTAGAATTCGGCCCCTACCCTATAAATACCCCTTGCAGTTAGTTTTTGGAGGGTGAGACATCTTTGGGATACAATATAGATTAGACATCATTAGAGAGGAGATTCGACCCAAGGAGGCAAAAATACGCTAGGAGCAAGGCGGAGAATTCCTCTACAAGATTTTCACTTTCTTCTTCCTATTTTCATTATTGGTTATGAATTATAGTATTGTGGTTTTGCATACTATTATGAATAGCTAATTTTTTATCTAGGTTGTTGATGTAACCTTTTGTAAGATAAATTCTCGTTATATTTTTGAATAATTAAACCGTTAGATTTCTTTATCGGTTCAACTACGTGTTTACTGTTGTTGAATTAATGGCCATCAATTGACTGTGCATATTTAGTATGTATTGCTTGAGAGATGGTACATATTTAGGTAGTTGTTGAATTACATCACTCCTAACATATGTGAGAGATTAATACGGAAGGTTTAAAGGCGGGATAAGAGATAACGAAACCTTGGTGCGATCGTAGTTAGGGTGAATTAGTGCCAGCTAGCGTAGTTCGAGAGAATATGTCTAGTAATTTGTGGTAGTTACTCGAGAGAGAATTACGGCACTCGAAGTACTCACGATCGGTAGAGAGTACTTTGGCGAAATTATAGAAGACGTAGCAGGAAGGATTCCCCTAATTTGGAAAATCATAACTCTAGACCTCCTTAATCTTTTTTCCAACCCGTAGTATCTTTAGTTGTTAATCTACTACTTTAATTTGTTAGCTATTTAGATATAAGAATCTTAAAATTTATATTTTAGGAATTATTGGAGCTTATCTTCTTAGTAATAGTCAACAGTTGTAGCTAAACCTTAGTTCTCCATGGGATTCGACTCCGGACAGTTAGACCGGATTATATTTGCAGCGACCGCTTATCCTTTTTAGGACTAGAGTTGGGCGTGATCAGAAACCATCGGCAAGTAACTACATTCTCTAATTCTAGATTACAAAAATAAGGTTCAAGAGATTCAATTTTATTCTATACAAGGTGTTGCGTTTAATAGGATTTAAATGGGTGTTCTTTCAACAATATGAGACAAACATGAAAGAAGACTAAAACAAAGAACAGAATAAATCATTTTAGAGGAAAGAAGAGAGGGAGGATTTTTTTTTAGGGAACCTATATGATGAACTGAAGAAAAAAGTGAAAAAATAAAGAAGAAGGGTGAAAAAATAAGGAAGAACGGTGAAAAAATGAGGAAGAAACGTGAATATAAAGGAAATAACAAGAATATTAAAAAAAAAAAATTAAAAGTGTTAGGCGGTTAATTATCCATTACTTCTTGTTAGGTGGGCCATTTTGATGGATTTTTTCAGTTGTCACGCGCTCCCAAGCGAGTTATTATATACGCTGTGATAGGTAAATAACAAGGGGGGTTTAAATATGTAGGACAATATAGTTCAGGAGTGTTTTGAGGACACCGAATAATTTAAGTAAGAAATTAACAAAAACATGATAGTTTAAAGGAGTTTAATTAGGATTTTAACTCTTATCTTTTCCGTTCAAAATATTGCGTATGAAAAGAAAGGTAGCTATCCTCGAATGGGTATATACACTTGTAAAACGGATGACAAGCGTTATATTGCAGAATTGAATTCCTGTGACGGGCTGGAAACGAAGGAATGAAAAGTAGGTCTACGCTATAAGGCGAACTGAAAGAGTCTAGTCATAAAGCTGGATGTTGCCTGTTCCTTTCCTCGGAAGCGATAATTTTTTGTTTTCTCTTCCTGCGGATCAGTTTCATATACAGACTTACTATAGGAGCTTGCAAACTTAGGAAAGAAATTGCTTGTAAAGCCTCTAAGATAATGCAAGCATCTCCAGGGTTCCATTTTTTGTTTTGAATTGGAATAAAAATTGTAGAGCCCTCTTAGTGCAACCCCCCCCCCCCCCCCACACGCGCGCGCTCACCCGTGCCAAACAAGAAAGGAATAGCAGAGAGTACCAAAATTCCAATAACCGTGGTGGAGCATCAGATGAATCAGGGCAGATCAGAACGAAATTAAAAGAACATTTAAACCTGATTGTACAATATTATTTGTTGACTTAGTAAAAACAATCATCCAATATTAAAAATACACACGCATTTCTTAAGTACATGGTTATCCGACACGCCGAGAAACATAAATAAAGTATTCATATTCTACAAACAACGTTTTGATTATCCCAGATGTAACATGCCAAACTAGCCTTTAGGTTTCATTTTCGTTATGCTAAATATGGACATGGGAACCTTAATAACGCGGCTAATTCATCATAATTGAAAATAAATTAAGACTTGAACATTAAGGTTTTAGGAGAATCCATTGTGTTGAGTCTCCCACATCGGCTAAGGGATGGGGGACTTGGTCTCCTTATATGGCTTGGGCAATCCTCAACTCATGAGCTAGCTTTTGGGTTGAGTTAGACCCAATGTCCATATCTTATCATGGTATCAGAGCCGGACCCATCCCAATGCTTTGTTTCACCGATGTTGTGCCCCCATATTATATTGTCCATGTTCCAATTTGCAGGCCTGGACGTGCCGGGGGTGTTGAGTCTCCCACATCGGCTAAGGGATGGGGGACTTGGTCTCCTTATATGACTTGGGCTATCCTCATCTCATAAGGTAGCTTTGGGGTTGAGTTAGGCCCAATGTCCATATCTTATCACATTGACCTGGGAGAAATGGCTCTAGTCCGTGAGGACGAGCTACACTGTATCTAAGATATTATTCGACAAAATGTAGCCTTTTTTTTTTCCATTTACACCACAACAAATATGAAAGTTAAATACTGTTGATATCACTACTGATAACGCTAGAAGCCATGATAAATCTGATGACTAAAAGGATAAAGCTATGCATGGAGGGAGCAATGCTACCCTTTTAGCTAACATTTTGATGTGGAATGAACCATTGGTGTCTCTAGAAAGGGAGGACCTATAAGCTCCAAGCTTCCAACTCCAAAACATGTCTCAGACATGTTCCTTTGGAGAAAACAAAATGATTGAAAAAAGAACAATAAAATGAGGACACCGGCTTTCATAGCTTGCTAGATCTTCCACTGAATTGTCGATAACAACTCCCCCCCCCCCCCCCCCCCACCACCCAGCTCCCACCTCACTAATAAAAAGAGTTTAACATATGTACGTTGACATTGTATAAACAAGTTAGACCGCACTGATATATAGCTTAAAGATTGATTATTTATCTGAAGGTTTATATTATTAGTTAAATCAAAATCAAAAAGAAAAAGAAAGAAATTAATGCCCCACTTAGCCCTAGTAACTGCTCATTTTGACTTTATGATAGAGGATTTCATTATGTTCCATGAGTATGTATCTCGTTGTAGTAGTCAGGTTTTTTATTTCTTTAAGAAGGAAGCTGTCGAACCCCCGACTCCCACCCCCAACTCTCTTCCCTCCAAGTAAAAGGTAGGAAATCAGTCTGTCACCACTCACTTGTATTCTTTCTTTTGTGTTATTCAAGAGAAAGAATTGGTGCTCAATTGCTTACATTATAAAAGAAAAGAAATGATATTGATGTAATACAGAAAGATGCATTGAATCTTCAAAATGGGATGGTGCTAAATTCCTCAAAGCAAAAGGCCGTGGGGGACCAACTTAAAGAACCTTGAAAAGGGGACCTTCTTTTTCTCTAGAATATATGCATAATAACACAATACCATTTCCCGTTCAATTTGTATGACACACTTTGGTGCGATACAGAGTTTAAAAAAAAATGAAAGTTTATCGTCTTTAAAGCATAAAAATAAAAGCTTTGTAACCATAACATTTATGTGGCTATAAATTTTTTTCTTTAACAGTAAAATTGGTAAAATAAAAAGTTTAAAGTTTTTCAAATATAAAAATATGTCATTTTTTAAGGAATCAAATAGTAAGAATATTGTATCATATAAATTGAAACGGAAGGAGTATTATCTATCACCGGTGGTATCTGCTATACATTTTCACTGATGTATAGCAATTCCATAAAAATAGAGCCAGGCCATGGCCATGAACATTCTTTTAAATTTAATTTCTCTATACTTATTAATCCAAGAACTTATGGAATTTGGAGAAACTAAAATATTCCCTTAGAATTACATACTGTAACTTTTAAGCTATACTATCATCTCCAGCGACTTTTGAAATAAAATCATGTTGTATTGTGGCTGATGATGAGGATGATCGATTTCGCGAATACCATCTAGCCCAGAACAGATAGTTGAAGAAGTTGAGGAAGCTCAGCACTGCTAGTAACCAATAGAAAAGATCAAGCCTGTCTTTGTTGAGATTGTTGTCACTGAGCCAGCCACCATGAGAGGAGTTTGAAGTGATCTTATTCACAAGTGAAACAAGTACCGAGCTTAAGTAAAAACCAAATGAGTATGAGCAATAAGTAATGGCTGTTAAAAATGATTGCATCCCTTTTACAGACTGTTTGTAGAAGAACTCAATGAGGCCAACTGCAGTGAACATTTCAGATACCCCGAAAATCAAGAACTGAGGGGTGATCCAAAAAATTGATAGTGTCTTGTCGAAGTTCACTGCAGCGTTCCTCCTTTTATATTCCATCAGAGCTGCTGATACCATGGAGAAAGTTGCAACGAATAGGCCGAGACCTATACGTTGCAACGGTGTCACACCGGAGTCATGACCGGTGATTTTTCGGGCAAAAGGGACAAAGAATGTGTCATATAGAGGGACTAAGAAGATTAGAATTATGTAGGGAATTGCTTGAAGGGAAGCTGGAGGGATGTGGAAGCTTTTGGTCAGCTTAGTGTTCATAGAACTTCCTTGTTGGACTGAAAAAGTTTGAAGTTGGGCTAAGATGGTGTTGAAAACTATAGTACAAGCAAAGATAGGAATAACTGAAATAAGGATCTTGACTTGTTCCACTTGGGTTACTGTGCAAAGTTTCCATGGACTCTCCTTTGTGCTATTTCCATCTTGCACTTTGATGCAAGCTTTGTCCAAGAACCTGAATTAACACGTTGCTCTACATTAGTTATGAGATATAGTACTACCGTAAGTCATATTTACTTTTCATGTTTGTCAAAAATAATTGTTCCAAAATACTTATCCTTTGATAAAATAAAATACTAATGAAGTAATTAATTACATTTTTCAGTTTTATCCTAAGCATTGATAGAGTGAGCATTTATTGGAAAGAGATTAATGTGGTAAACGATCAAGAAATAAATAAAGATAACTTAGTCAATAACTCTTTTTATTAATATTTTGTTAAATGGTGTGACAAAACTTATATGATAAATAAACAGGACCTGTTGGAGTACCAAATAAGGTGCTAAAGGAAGAAAATCATAATTGCTACAATAAGCTTTTAATGACAAAGTATCATTATGGCCTTGAACACAATAAATATGCACTAACAAAACCTATGGTTACCGTGACATATATTTAAACCCTACTATCTACATATCACTGCTAATAATGTCCTCATAAAATATTACTATTGTTTACTATTTCATAAACAATACAATATATTTTTTGTAAATAATTGGTATAGAGACTATGTAGTTATTAATAATTTGAACATATACCTGAATTGATTGGTGTGATGAAGAATGCCCATATCATCAGATATGGTGGCATTGCTGTTAGGACCCTTGATTGAGTGGCTCCCGTGAAGTACTCGTGCATCAGATGGACAGACTTCTTTTCTCTTTGAAAAAGCAGCCATAAACACCTGCATTAAATATAAAATTATAAACAGTAGTTCTCAAATAAAAATAAAAAAAGGGTAGCCCGATGCACTAAGCTCCCACTATGCGCGGGGTGCGGGGAAGGGCCGGACTACAAGGGTCTATCGTACGCAGCCTTACCCTGCATTTTTGCAAGAGGCTATTTCCACGGTTCGAACCCGTGACCTCCTGGTCACATGGCAGCAACTTTACCAGTTACACCAAAGCTCCCCTTCTTCTCAAATAAAATATATATATTCCCCTGGTCATTTCTTGGGGGGAGGGGGGGGG